ATCACTTAAAGAAAACCCCTCTTCTTCCTGCCACACCTGGCATGGACAGACAGCAAAAGGCACTTCAGGTTGTCCTGATGACAGCCCGAGGCAGAATCCTCTCACCTGTCACTCCCTTGGCATCTATGACGTTGGCAGCTGCTTTTGTCACAGCCGTGCTGACGATGTCGCTGCCCACGGCGTTCATGCGGCGAGAGCTCAGAGCTCGCTTCTGCTTGCTGGTTCCGAAGGCCTCAATGCACAGATCCATCTGCACAAGGCACAACACGCCCTGGAACACCCCGTGCACCCAGGGGGACACAAACCCCGCTGCTCCTTCCACAGACACGGCCTCTAACAGAGCTGACAACTCCCCGCCAGCCAAAACCCGCAGCACGCGCTGGTCTGCCAGGGCAGGAGGTCACTGGGGTGGGGACCAGCCTGAAACAACCAGGAAAACCAGGGGAACACTCCTGAGCCAGGCAATGCCTGTGCTGCCTCCTGGTTTACCCTGCAGGACAGCAGCCTCCCTGCCAGCTGGACAGTCACAGCTTTCCACTTTACCTTCTCCCTGTAGGATTTCTTCTGGTACTCCTTTGTGTCGTCAGGCATCACGTTATCTGCAAAACAACAACAGTTACTGTGCCTGGACAGGAATTCCTGTAGTCCTGCGACTGACAGGCTTGGCACAGGATCTCCTCCATGTGACCTGGGTAATTACAGGACACACCAAATATGAGAACCTGGGAAAAAAAGGCTTTTTCGGCTTTTTCTACAAAGCCCACATGGACCGACCCATGCCCTGCTGCACAGGGTAAAAATCAGCTACCAAAAGATGTGATCTTTTGGGTTCTTATCCTGGGGTCAATGAAAAAAAACCAGTCCTGCTGGATAAAACCTGTTTTGGGGCTGTTTTTGTTATTTTGGTTATTCAGGGGTCCAATTCCTGATGAGTCTCAGGCCTCCCTCAGCAGAACACACCCAGACAAGGCTGCACTGGAGCAGTGACACTCTGTGAGTGACTCCCACCCTCCACACCCAGCCTGTGCTCCCCTCTCCTGGCATGCACAAGTGAAGGAATTGTCCTTGCTGCCTGCCAAGGGAACAAGGCAGCAGGGACAAGGACAGAGCCACCCAGCAGCTGTGACTCCCAGCACCTCCCACCTGAGAGCAGGGGCTGCATGTTGAATATTTCAGCATTGTAGACCTCCATCTGCCCAGAGCTCTTGTCTAGCACTCCAACAAAGTACCTGGGGAGAATGGGGGCAGTTGATTAGTGAGAGGCAGAGCAGTGGAAATTATTTGAATTACATGGTTTTCTCACACCCCAGCAGCTCTCCCACCCTGCACATACAGCACTGTGATTAACCAGGTTACCTCCAAGGCATGTGTACATATAGAAACAGAAAGACTTGATACTCTAAGTAAATGCACAAGTCTTGAATCCACTGAATTAGGTAATGTGTGGGTGCCAGAGTTCTGCTGTTTTCTTTTCTCTTTTTTTTTTGCTGTGCCAGGACGTGATGGCCATGGCTTCAACAACACCAAATTTCCAAACTTCTTCCCAGAGCCCTGGATCTCCAGAGGTGCAGGCAAGCAGCACTTCAGCCCCCAGAACCACCTCTTCACAGTGTTCAGAGGCAGCAGCACTTAAATCTGCCTGCAAACAATACTGAATTAAGACCTGCACCACACACATTTGTTAAACTGCATTTATCCCTCCAAACCCGAGCAGAAACACAGCCCTGGTGCTCTTTTTTCAGCTGCAGCATCTCACAGTGGACACTGCCCCAGGTGAGGCTCCATCCCTGCTGGGGGCACTGCTCAGCCAGGACAGAGGCTGCTGTGGCCGTGCTCTGACAGGCTCTGCAGAGGGAAGCCAGGCCCTGGTGCAGAACTGCAGAGCACCTCAGCTGCAAGGGCCCCAGACAATGACCCTGCAGCACTGCCCAGCTGCTGGTAAAGGCAGCTCCTCCATCCTAGCTTCTTGGAAACAGAGCTCCATCCTGCTGCACCACTCCATACCCTCACCCCAGAGGTCACAAAATGTTTTCAGCCTGGCCAGATTTACACACCACAGCTTCCACTGGGTGTGCAGGAAGAGCCAGAGCCCCGTGCCCAGGGAGGAGCCCTGAGGCAGGCAAGGGAAGGGAGCAGGAGCTCTGAGTGTGGCAGCCCTGTGCTCCTGCTCTGTACCTGCACAGGGAGTTGCACTTCGTGGCCTGGCTGCCAAAGTTGTGTCCCACGTAGCAGAGCCGCTCCGTCTCCGAGACCTGGGGAAGCAGAGAAACCCTTGGAAAGGCTGGGGGAGAGCAGAGAAACCCTTGGAGAGGCTGGGGGAGAGCAGAGAAATCCCTGGAAGGGCTGAGGGAAAGAACAGAAACCCTTGGAAATGCTGAGGGAAAGCAGAGAAACCCTTGGAAAGGCTGGGGGAGAGCAGAGAAACCCTTGGAGAGGCTGAGGGAAAGCAGAGAAATCCCTGGAAAGGGCTGAGGGAAAGCAGGAGAGCTCCTTGGAAAGGCTGAGGGAAAGCAGGAGAAATCCCTGGAAAGGCTGAGGGAAAGCAGGATAAATCACTGGAATGCTGAGGGAAAGCAGAGAAACCCTTGGAGAGGCTGAGGGAAAGCAGAGAAACCCCTGGAAAGTGCTGAGGGAAAGCAGAGAAACCCTTGGAAAGGGCTGAGGGAAAGCAGAGAAATCCCTGGAAAGGCCAAGGGAATGCAGGAGAAATTCCTGGAAAGGCTGAGGGAAAGCAGAGAAACCCCTGGAAAGGCTGAGGGAAAGCAGAGAAACCCCTGGAAAGCCTGAGGGAATGCAGAGAAACCCTTGGAAGGGCTGAGAGAAAGCAGAGAAACCCTTGGAAAGGCTGAGGGAGAGCAGAGAAATCCCTGGAATGCTGAGGGAAACAATAGAAACCCCTGGAAAGGCTGAGGGAAAGCAGAGAAATCCCTGGAAAGACTGAGGGAAAGCAGAGAAACCCCTGGAAAGGGCTGAAGGAAAGCAGAGAAACCCCTGGAATGCTGAGGGAGCCCAGTGCCAGTGCTCTGCCCTGGCAGAGGGGACCAGCACAGCAGCCCTGCCCAGCCCCAGTGCTGCAGTTTAAATTTGGATTCCAGGGGTTCATTTCAGCTCCAGCACTGGAAGTGCCTGCAGTTCTGCAGCTGCAAAGGCAGCCTAGCAGGGGTGCCCCAGCCACCTGCAGGTATCCTCATGGCAACGTGTTGGCTTCTCTGCTCTGCAGAAGGGTTGCTGCAGAGCATTTCCCCTAGGGATGTGGCTGGAAGGCCCTGTGCTCTTTGGGAGGAGTGGATGTAAAGGTCAAGAGCAGCTCCCTCTGATGGGGGGCTCAGCTCCCCCTCACAGAGACCCCCTGGGATGCACAAAGACACCTGAGGAGCAGGTTTCCCAGCGAGGGCAAAGCACACTGACAGCAGCTCCATCCACAGGCACACGAACCTTCGGTTAAAACATGCTTATTTTGAATAAAATACCTGCTTTTAATGCTCTGTGCACTAAAACACAAGGCACGGAGCTCCACTATCAAGCTGAGAACTCCTGTCACCATGATATTTAATGAAAAAGCCTTCTGCCAGGATTTTCCCCTCCTGAGGAGCTGAGGGCCTCAGGAGAGAAATGCAAACAGTAACTGTGCTGCTGTGGAGTGCAGCAGGTGCAGCTGGCATTGGTGCATGTTGGTTGTTTCTGATTAAAAGCCAGTCACAGATGCAGCTGCATGAGACTGAGAGTCACAAGATTCTGTAATTCTATTCTATTCCTGTTCTTTCAAGCCCTCTGATGAGCTTTTCTCTCTGCTCTTTTAGTACAGTTGTAATGCAGTATTTTAATGTATATCCTAAGATAATAAATCAGCCTTCTGAGAGAATGGAGTCAGGCCTCGTGTCTCCACACATGGGGAGCTCCCAGCAAACTCCCCAACACCACACCAGACTTTTCTGCAGCTCAGGGAGTTATTCCAGACAAGAGTTAACACACAGACCATTGCTCCATTTGCCCTTGCTTTTCCACTTCTTACACAATTTTCTCGCTGACTTATTTTATGGCTGCTGCTGAGCTCCACTCTCAGTTTTGCTGTCCCTGAAGCCAGCCTTCTGCAGCTTTCCCAAACCCCTCTGATTTTATGGATCCCCATGGTTCAGTTCATCCCTGGTTCTGCCAGCTCCCCCCTGCAGTGTCCCTCAGGAATGGCAGTGACAGGGACACCCTGGAACACAGGGACACCCTGGAACACATCCCTGTGCAACATGCTGGGCTGAACCCTGACTGTTTGACACAAACCTGCTGCAAAGCCCAGCAGAGATTTCACAATCCCAGAGCGGTCTGGGTCACAAGAGCCCTCAGAGCCCCTCCAGTGCCACCGCAGCCACGGCAGGGACACTTTTCCTGTCCCCCAGTGTCCAGCCTGGCCTGGGGCACTGCCAGAGATCCAGGGGCTCTGGGCAGTGCCAGGGCGGAGTTCCCCGCTCCAGCGGGGTAATTAATAACCTGGGTAATTAACAACGCTCGCAGCCCGTTACAGCCGGTACCCGCTGTCCCGGAGCCTCACCACGATCCGGCGGTGCCTCTTGCGGGGGTGCGCCGAGTCCCGGTTCCGGTACACCGTGAAGCGCAGCGCCTCGGGCCGCTCCAGCCGCCCGTTGGCGAACCGCACTGCGGGAGAGGAAGCCCGTGAGAGGCGGGCCCGGCCGCCATCCCCGAGCGGCCCGGGACCCGCCCCGCGGCCCGGCCCCGCTCACCGAGCGCCGCCGGCCGCTCGCCCTCGGGGTCCCCGCGGTAGCGCCAGGTGGCGGTGGCCATGGCGGGGGCTGAACGAGGCGCTGCCTGGGGATGGCGGCGCGGATGGCGATGGCGGCGCCGCTCCTCCGCCTCTTCCGCCGCTGCCTCCCCGTCGTGGCAATAAGCTCAGCCCCGATTGGGCCCGGTGAGACCTCCGCCGCGGCGTAGAAGTAACGAGGCCGCCGGTTGGCTGTCAGCAGGGCCCGCGCCGCCAGCGGCCGGAAGTGACGCGCTGTGTCGGCGCGGCGGGGCGGGGCCGGAGCGGCGGGAGCGGGGCCGGGGCCGAGCCCAGTCCCAGGCCTAGGCCCGATCCCAGGCCCGAGCCCAGGGCCGAGCCTCCGCGGCCCTTCCCGCACGGACACCGCAGGTGAGCGGGGCGGGGGGCGGCGGCGAGGCGGAGACCGGTGGTCACAGCGTCGGGTGTCCCCGTTATGTCCCGTGTGCGGCCCTCTGGGGAGGGGCACGCATCTTGGCTGTTCCAGGTGACGCGAGAAGGAAAGAACGGGGAAAACGAGGCAGTGTGTGGGAAGAGCGCCTTCCGGCAGGAGACCCGCGGCGACCGGCGGCACTTACCGCTCCGCACTTCTCAAAGGCTTGGCGTGACTCAGTTTCCCCGCGCTGAGTACCCCGGGGGCAACTGTGAGTGAGCTCCCTGTTGTGCCTCCATCCAAGGACACTCGGGGGGATTCCTGGGATGTCCCGGGCACGGCGAGGAGCTGCCCGGCAGAGACAGGGATGGCAGGAAGGAAAAAGCAGCAAACGCCGTCCCTGTTTGAGGATGGACTTTCTCAATCGGCCGGGTTCCACTTGATCCCTCCTCAAAAGTACGGTTCTGGCCACGTGACCTTTTCTTTTTTTGGGCTGGTTTGTGGTCCTGTGCCCTTTGGTGTTGTCTTGTCGCTGCTGGAAGATACACGTGAGCGCAGGGAGTTCTGTGTGTGTGCCCGTGCGCAGCCTTCCTGCCCTCCAGATCCCACGCCCTGCTGTTGAACCCTGAGGAGAAGTCAGGGCGCGGCCGAGGGTCGCCCACGCAGCGCTGACTGGCTCCACTGAGGCAGGAGTGGTGCTGTGTTAGTGAGAATCAGAGAAGGAACCAGCCTGCCTGCTTGTCTCGCTGAGCAGCGCCTTGCCTTGCCTTGCCAGCAGCCCGTGGAGGGTTGCCACCTCTGTGAGCAGCATGTTGTTGCTGTAATCAGACTTTCTTACGAGCCAGGACTGGGTGTTTTGCTCAGGGGTGTGAAGGTGCCCCACGCTGCCCAGCTCCAGCACGGCTGCGTGGTGCTGAGCTCAGCTCTGTGGCAGAACCTGGCCTTTCACTGCTCTTCCTTGTCCTCCAGACTGCTGCCTCTGGTCCTGTGCCCATCTGGTGCTGGTGCACTCAGCCCAGTTTCTGTTTGTCTGTCGGCTGCCACCTTTTCTCCTCACTGCCACGTTCACTGCAGCACTTTGGGTTGGGAGGGCACCTTTTCTTGCCCCACCCCTGCCACAGCAGGGACACCTTCCCCTGCCCCAGGTGCTCCAGCCCCAGTGCCCAGCCTGGCCTTGGGCACTGCCAGGGATCCAGGGGCAGCCCCAGCTGTGCCAGGGCCTGCCCACCCTGCCAGGGAGCAATCCCATCCTCTGCTGCTGTCTGTTGGTGATTCCTCTCCGTGTGTGGAGACACGAGGCTTGACTCCATTTCAGAAGGCTGATTTATTATGTTAGATATTATATTGAAATACTACATTAAACTATACTAAAAGAACAGAGAGATCAGAGGGCTACAACAAGAAAGAACAGAATAACAAAAATCCTGTGACTGCTCACAGCCTTGGCACAGGTGGCTGTGATTGGTCATCAATGGAAAACAATCCACATGGACCAGTCATGGATGCACCTGTTGCATTCCACAGCAGCAGATAGTAATTGTTTACATTTCTCTCCTGAGGCTCCTCAGCTTCTCAGGAGAGGAAAAATCCCAGCAAAGGATTTTTCATAATATCATGGCTACAGCTGTCTTTCAATTTGAGCTCACTCCCTTTTCTCCTTGGCTGCAGACTCCTAAACAGACTTGTCCCACCTTCAGTGTAGCCCCCTCAGAGCTGGCAGGGCACGGTGAGGTGCCCCTGCAGCCCTCCCTCCTGCGGGCTGGCCAGCCCCAGTTCCCTGGCGCCGTGCTCGCTGCGCAGCTGCTCTGCTCCTCCTGGTGGCCCACGCAGCGCTCCTTTGTGTTTTGCAGGACCATGGATTTCCCAGGGCACTTTGAGCAGGTCTTCCAGCAGCTCAACTACCAGCGGCTGCACGGGCAGCTGTGCGACTGCGTCATCGTGGTGGGCAACCGGCACTTCAAGGCGCACCGCTCGGTGCTGGCCGCCTGCAGCACGCACTTCCGCGCGCTCTTCACCGTGGCCGAGGGCGACCAGACCATGAACATGATCCAGCTGGACAGCGAGGTGGTGACGGCCGAGGCCTTCGCCGCGCTCGTCGACATGATGTACACCTCCACGCTGATGCTGGGCGAGAGCAACGTGATGGACGTGCTGCTGGCCGCCTCCCACCTGCACCTCAACTCGGTGGTGAAGGCCTGCAAGCACTACCTGACCACGCGGACGCTGCCGCTGTCGCCGCCCAGCGAGCGCGCGCAGGAGCAGAGCGCGCGGCTGCAGCGCTCCTTCATGCTGCAGCAGCTGGGGCTCAGCATCGTCAGCTCGGCGCTGGGCTCCTCGCAGGGCGCCGAGGAGCCGCCCGGCGCCGTGGGCGCGGCGCTGCGCGGCGGGCTGGAGCAGCGCGCCGCCTTCCCCATGCGCCGCCTGCACAAGCGCAAGCAGTCCTCCGAGGAGCGCGCCCGCCAGCGCGTCCGGCCCGCCATGGACGAGCCCGTGGGCGACGTGGCCGCCGAGAGCGGGCAGCCCGTGGTGCACTCCAGGGAGGATTTCTTCTCTCCCGACTCGCTGAAGATGGTGGACAACCCCAAGGCCGACGCGGTTGCCGACAACCAGGAGGACAACACGATCATGTTCGACCAGTCTTTCGGGGCTCAGGAGGATGCTCAAGTGCCCAGCCAGTCAGACAATGGCGGGGGGAACATCTCCCAGATGTCCATGGCGTCCCAGGCCACGCAGGTGGAAACCAGCTTCGACCAGGAGGCCGCTGCTGAGAAGAGCAACTTCCCGTGTGAGAATCCGGAGGTCAGCCTCGGTGAGAAGGAGCACATGAGGGTGGTGGTGAAGTCTGAGCCGCTGAGCTCCCCGGAGCCTCAGGATGAGGTGAGCGATGTCACCTCCCAGGCGGAGGGCAGCGAGTCGGTGGAGGTGGAAGGAGGAGTGGTGAGTGCAGAGAAGATAGAGCTGAGTCCCGAGAGCAGCGACCGCAGCTTCTCGGACCCTCAGTCCAGCACCGACAGGGTGGGAGACATCCACATCATGGACGTGTCCAACAACCTGGAGCACAAGTCTTCCTTCAGCATTTCAAATTTTTTGAACAAAAGCAGGGGAGGTGGCTTTGGCACCAGCCAAAACAACGACGACAACATTCCCAACACCACCAGTGACTGCAGGATGGACAGCGACGCCCCTTACCTGATGAGCCCGGAGGCGGGGCCCGCCGGTGGCCACTCCTCTGCCGCCGTCTCGCACGTGGAGAACCCGTTCAGCGAGCCCGCGGACTCCCACTTTGTGAGGCCCATGCAGGATGTGATGGGCCTGCCCTGCGTGCAGACCTCCGGCTACCGAGCGGCGGAGCAGTTCGGCATGGATTTCCCCCGCTCAGGCCTGGGCTTGCACTCGCTGTCTCGGGCCATGATGGGCTCCGTGAGGGGCGGGGCTGGCGGCTTTCCTGGCTACCGCCGCATCGCCCCCAAAATGCCCGTGGTGACCTCTGTGCGGGGCTCGCAGCTGCAGGAGAGCTCCTCGGGCTCGCAGCTGATGATGAACGGGAGCGCGTCCTTCGAGGCCGGGCACCTGTCGCAGCCGGGCCCGCCGCAGCTGACGCGCGCCTCGGCCGACGTGCTGTCCAAGTGCAAGAAGGCTCTGTCGGAGCACAACGTGCTGGTGGTGGAGGGCGCGCGCAAGTACGCCTGCAAGATCTGCTGCAAGACCTTCCTGACGCTGACGGACTGCAAGAAGCACATCCGCGTGCACACGGGGGAGAAGCCCTACGCCTGCCTCAAGTGCGGCAAGCGCTTCAGCCAGTCCAGCCACCTCTACAAACACTCTAAGACCACCTGCCTCAGGTGGCAGAGCAGCAACCTGCCCAGCAGCTTGCTGTGAGCTGCCGGCCCGGCGCGGAGGAGCCCCGCCGCCGGCGGGGACGGGCGGGCGCACACCGGCGTGCCGCGGTGCCAAACACAGTCTTGGCTCTGCCATTGGGGATATCCGGTACCTACCTCGCGGGTGTCGCCGCCGGAGCCGCGCGGCGGGATGGGGATGAGGCCCCACTGTGGGGATGAGACCCCACTGTGGGAATGAGACCCCATTGTGGGGATAAGGCCCCATGGGTGGGGATTAGACCCCACAGGTGGGGATGAGACCCCACTGTGGGGATGAGACCCCATGGGTGGGGATGAGACCCCACAGATGGGGATGAGACTCCACGGGTGGGGATGAGACTCCACGGATGGGGATGAGGCCCTACGGGTGGGGATGAGGCCCCATGGGTGGGGATGAGGCCCCATGGGTGGGGATGAGGCCCCATGGCGGGATGGGGATGAGGCCCCACGGGTGGGGATGAGGCCCCACGGGTGGGGATTAGACCCCACAGGTGGGGATGAGACCCCACTGTGGGGATGAGACCCCATGGATGGGGATGAGACCCCACGGGTGGGGATGAGACCCCACGGGTGGGGATGAGACCCCATGGATGGGGATGAGGCCCCACTGTGGGGATGAGGCCCCACTGTGGGGATGAGACCCCATGGATGGGGATGAGGCCCCACGGATGGGGATAAGACCCCACTGTGGGGATGAGACCCCACGGGTGGGGATAGACCCCAGGGCGGGATGGGGATGAGACCCCACTGTGGGGGCGGGGATGTGACCCCACGGCGAAGAGCCCCTTTGCAGGGCAGAGGGGTGACAGCACGGGGGTCTCCTGAAATCGCACGGTTTGAGAACAGCGAACTGACGTGCGCGTTTTTTTTTTTTTTTTTTCTTTTTCCTTCTCTCTAAAGCATTTTGTAACAGTGAAAGCATTTAAATGATTACTGTAACATGAGTTGCTGCATTACGTGAGGATGGTGGTGCAGAGCCCTTACCTTTAAAAGAGAAAAACGGCTTAGGCTGCACCTGTCTGACATAATGCTTTAAAATATGCTAATTATGACAATAGTTCTAGGATTATGAATGTATGTTTGGCTGTTTTGTAGTAAAGGACACTGTGTAATCAAGGTGCTTAAATTAAATCCCAGACAAGTAACTTCTGGACTGCCAGGTGTACATATAACTTTAATACAGCAAGATCTGGATATTTGGCTGTTTTTTTTTTTCCTGTAGAAACGAGTATTAAGTGGTAAGTGAAGTACTGTCTGTTGTTTGTGCTATTCCTAGCAGTATTTTAACCAGTTTGTATCTCCTATGTTACGATTCTATATACACAGAAGTTTGAGCAGAGCTTGTCTTTGTCTGTCGTTTTGAAGGAGAGGGAGTCTGTGCTGGCTTTTTTGGCCACGGAAGGCAAGCAGCATCTGGCTGCTGCCAGATGCCCACAGTGCATCTGGTCCCCGTTATGGCGTGAGCATGTTGTCTTTTCCTCTTTATCTCCAGGCTTTAATTTCCTGCCCGGCGCGCTGGGCGACTTCCCTTGGCAGCTGTGCATCTGTCCTTGGGGCGCGTGGCTCCCAGGTCAGGAGCAATCCTGCTTTGCCATATTGCACAGAGTCACAGGCTGTGCTCAGCTGGAAGGGAGCCCTCGGCACCACTGTGTCCAGCTCCTGGCCTTGCCGGGGATACCCCAACAATCCCATCTTGTGCCTGACACTTCTTCACCTCAGGCAGCCTTGGGGTGCTGACCCCGTCCCTGGGGATCTTGTTCAGTGCCAGACCAGCCCTCTGGGTGAAAAGCCTTTCCTGGTAGCCAACCCAAACCTCCCCTGACTCACCTTCAGCCGTTTTCTCACGTCCTGTCACTGGTCATGAGCGTGAGGAGGTCTGCACCTGCCCCTCTGCTGCTCCTCAGGAGGATGACGAGGGGGATGAAGACCTCAGTGCCCTCTCCTCCAGGCCGAGCAAACCAAGTGCCCTCAGCTGCTCCTCGTAAAGCTTCCTCCCCGTTCCCCTCAGCACCCCACGGCCTCCTTTGGACAGGCTCTGCCAGCTGAATGTCTGCATGATGGTGCTGACACTGCCCCAGCACCTGGGGTGAGGCTGCCCCAGAGCAGAGCAGAGCAGGACCCCCTCCTCACCCTGCTGCTGACACCCCCAGGACACAACTGGCCCTCCTGGCTGCCAGGGCACGGCTGGCTCACATCCTGTAAAATGTCCTTGTCAAATCCACTGAAGCTAGTGTCATAAAAGTACTTTCCCCCTTACATTTAAAAAAAGCTAATGTGAAATTAATTTTAAAGAAATGGCACTGTACACACACACAGCAGAAAGTTGTCTTTTTTCCACAAAAGTTATGCAAAATGACTTTTTAATTTCCTCTTCTTTGGTGCCACAGTCACTTTACGCTGCCTGCAGTCTCCTTTCTTCCTTGTCAAAGGTGCACACGAACTGGGCTCAGCATTCTTGAGTTTTAAAAAAAACTTTCAGAGCATTTCTGCTGATGGAGACCCAGGGGCTGGGTCCAGGCTGCAGCGTGTCCTGCTCAGGTGAGACAGAGGACTCCCTGCACCTGTCAGCCTGTCTTGCACCTTGACCATCTGAGGAGTGCAGAAACACAGGAGATGGTTGGATTAATTCCTTTAAAGTGTTAATATTTTGTTATAGGGTTTACTTAATGATCATATATCTGGCTCTTGATTTTTTTTTTTTTTTAAGCATTAAAGTAACACTTTTTTAAAGCAGTGGGATATGCTGTGTTTTGTTTTAAATAATCTCAGTACTGGGGACTGACAGCATTGAGCTGCATAAAACACTCTCCCAAACATCAGTAAAATGCAGTATTTTGTACTTTAATATTTTCTTGTGTTGCTTTATTAAGTAACACTTTCATCTTTGTTGCATTTCTAGTGTTTTGCATTTCAAAAACAAGGCTTTTTTTCCTGTTGTGTTTCCTGTAGCACATCCACATTTTTGAATTGTTGCAATGTTTTGGAATAAAGCATCTCTCTGTGCAGTGAGACTAAGTAGGAACTAATACGAGCAGATAAACACTTGACTGGACTCTTGCAGTGTTTTTATCAGAATTGTAGCGTGGAATATCAGTGCAGGAGGACTTCTGTATTCTTTCTTTGTGAAGAAGTTTGGCAGTGCAGCGCAGCTTTAAATTCCGTGGTCGGTTGGTGTGAGGCCTGGGGCCTGCAGCTGCCTCTGCAGCTTCCCGAGTCTTCCTGAACAAAGCAATAAATTCCTGGGAATAGCACGAATGAACACCTGGGGCCTGAGCTGCCTGCTCCAGTGAAGGGTGTCCCACCCCACAGCCTGGAGAGCTTGTGCTGAACTGAGCTCAGAGGGGAGGTGTGGGGCTCTCTGTTCCGAAGCACCTGGAAATAAACCCTGCATCTGGTGTGGCTGTGTCTGCCTGGCTTCACTGCTCGGGTGCTCTGCACAGCAGCCTGGACAGAAAAAACTCTGACTGCACAGGGGATTGTAAAATCCTGACCTTGGTAGTAACTCTGTCCCCCGTAGAGTTCTCTGTATGACTGTTGTTAATGAAATAACATTTGCAGAGCCACCTGTAAAATTCATCACTCGTGGTCAGTGCTGCTCTCTGAATTCCTCATGGGAAGATGTCTCAGGTGCAGGAGGTGCTTGTCTCCAGGGAGTTCTGGGATGGACACCTGAGCCCAGTGCCCTGTGGCAGCTGATTGAGCAGCTCGTGGCTGTTTGTTACCACACCTGGGGGGCCTGACACAGCTGCTCAGACACCAGCTCAGTCCCTGTCACCACCAGGAGCCTCTCAGATGCTTGGTCGCCATCCTTCAGTGTCACAGCAGCTCCACCAGCAGCACAATCTTCAGTGTCAGCACTAGGGAGTCTTGGGGAGCACTGAGCTCCCCCCTGGACCCTTGCCCTGGTTCCCACTGGGTCCTTTGGGAACCCCCAGCCAGCTGGGATGCCAGAGCACACTCCCTCCTCACCGCCACGGCCACCAGTCTTTCCTGCTCAGTCCAGGTGCCAAACCTCCAGAACTATTTCTGAGAGGCCAGCAGAAGGCAATCACATGCTTGTGAATCAAAAGCGTGATATTTATCACTATAAATGTGTCAGAATTCCTCCTGTGGTGCAGGACAACTCCCCCAGCTGTTGCTGCTATCAGAGAGTGCTTCACTGAGCGCCCAGGAGATCCCAGCAGAGTGGCACAAGGGACAGCAAGGGACACGGGGTGTGCTGGCTGAGCCTCAGCTCTGGCTGCAGGCTGTGCCTGGGCCCTGGTTGTGGTGCCAGGGTTGTGGTACTGCCAGCTGCTCACCCCAGGACCCTTTCCTCCTGCCCCCTGCACGCTCCCCCTGTGCTGCTGGCCCCAAAAGCTCTGCTCCCCTGTCTGTCCCCTGCAGGCTGAGGGGCTTGTCCTGGGGCACAGCGGTGGGAAAACCTGCACAAACCCATCCCTGTGGGGCAGGTCAGCCACTGGCACCACAGTGCAGCTGGGCACGCCACAGGGGCTGCTGTGGAGGCTGCTGGAGAGCCACAGCTGAAAAGGAACCTGAGCCCAGGGGTGCTCTTCAGCATGAGGAGCTGGCGTGGGATGGTGAGAGCGACCTCCAGAGCACACTGTGGGGTGGCTGGGGTGGGCAGCACTGCGTGGCTGTGACAGGGCTGTGACAGGGCTGTCCTGTCTGCCTCATGGTCACCGATGGTGGGAGGGCACACGGCGAGGGGCCATGGCAGGGCCAGGGCACATCCACCCCCCTGCTGCAGGGTGGGCCAGCTGGACCCCAGGCTCCTCAGCCTGAACGTGTCCAAGGCCGGGCTGGGCAGGGCCTGCACCCCCTGGGACAGTGGAAGGTGTCCCTGCCCTCGGCAGGTGGGCTGGAATGAGATGGTCCATGAGGTCCCTGCCAAGCCAGCCCGTTCCATGATTCTGTGACCAGTGGCACGGACAGGTGGGCTCAGGTTCCAGCCCCTTTGTGAGAGTGGGGCAGTGGCTGCAGGACACTTGGATCCCCAAAGCCCTCGGGATGTGCCCATCAGCCTCTCCTGCCCCTGGAGGCTCAGGCTCTGCTCAGGCTCTCCTCTGCTCCAACAAATGCCACTGCACACCGCAGAACCACCAGGGCAGCCACAGCCAGAGCCTACAAAGGGGTGGCAGAACCTCCCAGTGAATTCCAGTTTGCCATCCACTCTGGAGCTGTGCCTGGGATTGCTTGTGGATACAAAGGCAGAGCTGCAGGTTCCTGGGGAGCTGCACAGGCCTGTTCTGTGTTTTAATTTGGACCCCTCAAGCAGAGGCTGATGCAGTGCCACTGCTGTGTGGGCAGCAGCAGCCTGCATGGCAGCAGCAGCCTGCATGGACACAGCTGCTCCCTCTCCTCCCTTCCTGGCTGCAAGCCCAGGGAAGGCAGCCCTGGCCTCTCAGGGTGACAGCAGCTCCCTCAGGTGCCTCCAGCACGGCAAGCATCCCCCGTGCAGGGCCAGCCCCCTCCCCACGGCCTGCTGGCACCCGCAGAGTGCCCAGCACATGCCCTGCTCTCAAATAACACCAGCACCACACCGTGCTTGGCTGCTGCTCTTTAATGGCTCCTGGCCACGCAGGGGGGACACAGCTGGCGTCCCTCGGCGCTGCTGGAGCAGGGTCTGGCTGTCATCAGGGGCTGGCCGTCGGGGTCTGGCTGTCATCTGGGGCTGGCCATCGGGGTCTGGCTGTCATCAGGGGCTGCCTGGGGCTGGCCATTGGGGTCTGGCTGTCACCAGGGGCTGGCCATCGGGGTCTGGCTGTCATTGGGGGCTGGCCATTGGGGTTTGGCTGTCACCAGGGGCTGGCCGTCGGGGTCTGGCCATCGGGGTCTGGCTGTCATCAGGGGCTGGCCGTCGGGGTCTGGCCATCATCAGGGGCTGGCCATCATCAGGGGCTGGCCGTCGGGGTCTGGCTGTCATTGGGGGCTGGCCATTGGGGTTTGGCTGTCACCAGGGGCTGGCCGTCGGGGTCTGGCCATCGGGGTCTGGCTGTCATCAGGGGCTGGCCGTCGGGGTCTGGCCATCATCAGGGGCTGGCCATCATCAGGGGCTGACCATCGGGGTCTGGCTGTCATTGGGGGCTGGCCATCAGAGGCTGGCCATCAGGGTCTGGCTGTCATCGGGGTCTGGCCATCAGGGTCTGGCTGTCATCGGGGTCTGGCCATCAGGGTCTGGCTGTCATCGGGGTCTGGCCATCGGGGTCTGGCTGTCATTGGGGGCTGGCCATCAGAGGCTGGCCATCAGGGTCTGGCTGTCATCGGGGTCTGGCCATCAGGGTCTGGCTGTCATCGGGGTCTGGCCATCAGGGTCTGGCTGTCATCGGGGTCTGGCCATCGGGGTCTGGCTGTCATTGGGGGCTGGCCATCAGAGGCTGGCCATCAGGGTCTGGCTGTCATCGGGGTCTGGCCATCAGGGTCTGGCTGTCATCGGGGTCTGGCCATCAGGGTCTGGCTGTCATCGGGGTCTGGCCATCGGGGTCTGGCTGTCATTGGGGGCTGGCCATCAGAGGCTGGCCATCAGGGTCTGGCTGTCATCGGGGTCTGGCCATCAGGGTCTGGCTGTCATCGGGGTCTGGCCATCAGGGTCTGGCTGTCATCGGGGTCTGGCCATCGGGGTCTGGCTGTCATTGGGGGCTGGCCATCAGAGGCTGGCCATCAGGGTCTGGCTGTCATCGGGGTCTGGCCATCAGGGTCTGGCTGTCATCGGGGTCTGGCCATCAGGGTCTGGCTGTCATCGGGGTCTGGCCATCGGGGTCTGGCTGTCATTGGGGGCTGGCCATCAGAGGCTGGCCATCAGGGTCTGGCTGTCATCGGGGTCTGGCCATCAGGGTCTGGCTGTCATCGGGGTCTGGCCATCGGGGTCTGGCTGTCATCGGGGTCTGGCCATCATCAGGGGCTGACCATCGGGGTCTGGCTGTCATCGGGGGCTGGCCATTGGGGTCTGGCTGTCATCGGGGTCTGGCCATCGGGGTCTGGCTGTCATTGGGTGCTGGCCATCGAGGTCTGGCTGTCATCGGGGGCTGGCCATTGGGGTCTGGCTGTCACCAGGGGCTGGCCATCGGGGTCTGGCTGTCATCAGGGTCTGGCCATCGTGGTCTGGCTGTCACAGCTTCAGCTCGTGGGGCATGGGCTCCCCTCGCAGCCCGGCCAGCAGGTTCTGGGCTGCCAGCACGGCCATGGTGCTGCGCGTGGCGTACGTGGCGCTC